AGAGGGAAGGCTGTTTGTAAGGCATTGTGTTACATGGGCCTCCAACACCTGCCCCAGTCTCTGCTCACTGCAGCTCAGTCTAGAAGAGAGAATGCCACACGTGCAGCGGGAGCTAAGCAGAGACGTAAGTGCTCTGAGTGAAGCACAGGCAGGGGTGGAGGGACATGGAGTAGAGGGAGCCTTCCCGGCCGGGCTCTACATCACGGGCAAGGGTTGGAAATGCAGAGGTGGGAGGGAAGGACATTCCAGGTGTATGGAATAGTGACAAATCCATGAGGGCGGAAAGGCTTGTGTCGAACCCAATGGTGCAGCGAGGCTGAGGCCAGAGTGTGTGAAGGGCAGAGGGACATGTAGCTGCAGAGGAAGGGTGAGGCCAGACCACCCTAGGCAGAGAAGTGGATTTTATTTGATAAGCAATGGAAAACCATTCAACATCATCTTGCTTACCAATGAAAACAGAAAACACCCCAATTATTTAATATCCCCTATGGAACATTCAATTGGGTCCTAGCTATAGATCAGAGAGTTTTCATTAAGATTGTTGTAACTGATTTTGAGAGACGGGGATGGAATTTGCTGTGGTCTCTCCTGAGGCTGGAGACACGTTGAGGCTGGAGGACCGACTTCCTCCTCTCACTCTGGTGAGAGAAGCTGCAGTTCTAAGCTCCCATGCCCACCTTATCCCCTTCTCCTCTGCCCAACCTTTCTCCCTCAACCTTTCCTTCCCAGTGATTTTGGCATGAACACCACGCGCATCCCAGAATGTTTCAAGGCTACCTTCGCTTTCATTGTCTTCAAAGTACTTGGAACATTTGAGATACTGCAGAGGGCGTTAGCCAGTGCTGGGCTGTGCACCGCAAATGGAGTTGAAGAAGCACATGCACTGGGGCTGGCAGTTTGAATAACACTCTTCTTTCTTCATTGTCAAAGGCGTTTGGGAACAGGAGCATTTATCCATTTTTGATGCCATAGAAAACATACGAATATTCAGCTAAATCTGTGCATAGAATATTCTATTACATGCAAACTGAGTCTTGCTCAGTGAGGAGGCTGTGCTGCCCACCTGGGAACGAGCTGATGGTTGGGTCACGGCGGCTGTGTATGGCAGCTCTGCCACGTGTGGCAGCCGAGGTACCTCTGTCATGTTCTTCCAACTTCCTCTGCCCCATCAACCCACAGAAAAATGCACATCCTGTGCTTTCCTAGACAGGGGATGCCAATTTGGCTTCATGCCGGAGGAGTTAACAAATCCTCACAAGCCACCATCAAGTCTTGTCGGGTAAAGGTAAGGTTATGATGGTCTCGGCCAGGGGCCACCTTGCTGACATCATTGCTGGGGGATGCCTGCTTTGAGTCTTGGGGCTGCTGGTGGCTGTGTTGAGGGAAGGAAGGACAGAGCCCAGGGCTCCTGGATCTTCTGTGTCTGAGCCTGCTTCTGCTGCAGGAACCCTGTGCCCACAAGATTGCCATGCTCTGGCCCCTCTGTACCTCTACCTACCCCTCAAGGGGGAAGCTGGTGTGGGCCAGGCAGCTGGGGTGAGAAAAAGGTCACAGCTGTCCCAGCAGTGGCGCACAGGAGGGCCAGGAAACTCCGGAAAAAGGCAACCCTCGCATTACAAGCCAGGTGCCCAGCCATCGAGTAGTGTGTTGGCTACTGTGCTCAGAGCCTAAGGCAGAACGCTGCTGCCTCTCTGGGGCCGCCCAGGAAGAAGAGCCAGGTGGCTGAGGCTGGGGTGCTGGGGGTGGGCGGCCTGGGAGCAACGGCTGCTTTGCCTTTGGATTCTCCCTCCCAACCCCTTCCCCAGGATCTGCCTACCCTTGAGCTGCTGGAGGAACTCCCTCTGCTCTCCTCTCCCTCTGCTCTCCCACGCCCAAGAAGAGTCTAAGAGTAAAGAGGAGGTGGCTGGCGAGGGTTGTGCACTGTGTGTGCAGCATGTGGGGCTTGGAGGGAGGGTGATGGACAGAAAATTTGTCCTGAGTAGTCCTAGATGCTGCATCTGTTTCAAGATTTCCCAGGAGAAACTTTGTGGGACAGGCTGCAAAGTCCCCAGAGCCTCCTGGAGCAGCGTAGTGCAGATCACGGGACAGGCATAGCTCTTTCCAGTTTGAGGCGTGGCCCTGGAAGCTTGTTTGTAACCATTCTTTTTGAAGCAAGTAGTGCCTAAACTTCTCTCCTGCCCCGGGCAAGGCTGGTACAGGCCTCACCCTTCAGCTCACGACTGAAAAGTGCACATAAGGCCCACTCATTTCTTATCACTTTGTGGCTAAAGGGACACGAGTCACGCCTTATCCTCATGCCGACACTGCCATCCTTTGGTCTGGTCAGCCCTGCCCCTCCCACAGCCTGCGAGCAGACAGCTTTCTCCCTGGTGGCAATCATCAGGAGACCCTCTGGAGCGGGGGGACTTAGGGCTCGTGCCTGGGAAAATGAAAAGGTAAGCTCCACCTGACCCCAGTTAAAGCCGGTGGTCCACCCAGGCAACCAAGTCTAAGGTCTCGGCAGGGAGGACCACGACTGCCTCAGAGTGGGAATTGGACCCAGAACTGCCTAAGAGGCCACAGAGAATTCGCTCGCCATAGTTTGACCTCAGTAATACACAAAACTAAGTCACAACTGGATGATCCTGCATGTGAGCACTGATTCTGGGCTTCTGCCCTCTGTACCCCCAACTTCCCCTCATCCTAAGATGGGGTGTCCTTGCAGCTACTCCTGTGGAGATCCTTGGGAAAAAGTAGGCCTAGGCAGCCAGCCCTCCAACCCTCTGGCAACATGGCTCTGGGGCCAAGCCAGGAGCTGAGCAGTTGAGGCAGAGCCTGAGGAGCCCACAGACTTCCCCAATTCAGGATCCTTCTCTGAAATGCAGGGGGTGGGGAAGCCAGCAGAAATTGGGCCAGATCAAACAAATCCCAGCCCTGGCACACTCCAAACATTGATCAAACAAGAACCCCAACTGAACGCCTCCCGTCTAGCCAGCTTTCACGGTGCCTTTCCCGAAGCATCTTTCAGTCCTACCGTTCTAGGTAGGAAAAGCATTGTCTCCTCCTCCCTCCTTTTTTTCAGATGGAGAAACTGAGGCCCAGGAGCTTAAGTGACTTGTCCAAGGCAGAACGGGTCTCAGCTGCATCTCCTGGGAGTGTGCCACTCTTGGGCCTGCCTGCCGGCCTCTCCCTTGCCATGTAGAGGGAGAAACAAGGCAGGACTAAATTCTTTTCCTGTGAGAAACACCAGATCTGGCTATGGGAGCTCCCGATGCTGCACAGTAAGCCTCTGAGCTGCTCCCATGATCAGAATGCTACCAGTTGACTGAGGAGCCAGAAGGAGCCTGCATGCCTGAATGCCACCCACCCCGCCATGGTCTACAAGGCAGCTCTTGACCCCTGAGCCTGGGCCACTCTGCATGCTAGTGGAGTGGTGCCTCTTGCTCCCCTGCAATCGTTCATCACTCTCTTTAACAAGTGTGACATGGTTTTGTACATGTGCAGTCCTTCCTCTATTGTCTGGCAGGAGAGGGTACAGTGGTCCCATGATCTCCCAAGAGAAGGAAGTGGCAGATGTAGCAGCCTCTGCCTCCCAGTTCTACCTCTCAAGGGAGGCAGCTGCCAGTGCAGGAAGCAACAGAGTCCCTGCTAACACCTCAGAATGCCTGTCACTTCCAACTCTGTCTGTCCAAAGTCAAAAATGATATCAAGATTGCCTGGGACCACTGCTCCCATCTCTGCTGGGTGGCCCAAGAGAACTGGTTCCTGGAAATGTTCTGCATCTGCTGAACACAATGGGAGATGTTCCTCTAAGTGCCAAGGAGTGACTCAGAGAAGTGACTGGGCCTTCAGCTTCTCCTTCCCAACAGCTACGAAGGGACATGCCTGAACGCAAACAGCTCCTGTGCCTTGGTCAGCTCAGGCTGTCATAACGAAATACCATAGATGGGGGGATTCAACAACAGATCTTTATTTTTAATGGTTCTGGAGGCTGGAAGTCCAAGATTAAGGTGCCAACAAGGTGGGTTTTATTCTGAGACCTCTTCTCTTGGTTTGTAGGTAGCCACCATCTTCCTGTATGCTGACATGACCTCCTCTTTGTGCATACAAGGTGAGAGAGGGAGAAAGCTCTCTGTGTCTGTTCTTATAAGCCCATTAATCCCATCATGGGGGTCCTACCCTCATGACCTCATCGAACCTAAGCAACTCCCAAAGGCCTCGCCTCCAAATACCATCACATTGCAGGGTAGGGCTTCAATGCATGAAGTTTGGGGGACACGTTCAGTCCATAGCACCCTGGTAGAGATCAGGCCACCTGAGAATACCAAGCTCCTCCTGTGGGTATGAGGCCTCATGTGCCCCCTTTATTTTAACTTGCCACTAGAGACTGGGGGCTTCCTTTGCCTTCTTCCAGCAACGGTTCATTACCTTAAGACTGATATTAAAGGTATACAATAACTTCAGATAACGTTATCAAAGCGCCCCCCCTTTCTCTCCTCCCCTCTTTCCCTCTCCTTGCAGACAGCTGGAAAGGTGCTCTCCTTGGACCTGACTAGAGAGCAATCACTTTTCCTCCAGGGAGTGCACCTGCCCAAGAAAAGGCTATGGGCAGGAGAGAAGAAACCTGCATGCAAAGCAAATGGGCACTTTGCCCTTTAGCATCCAGGTTCACCTCTGAGGCGACATATGAGGCACGAGCACAGTCTACACAGGGTGGGTAGCCCCTAGGCTAACTATTTCAGGCCCGGCAGGCCTTGGGCTGCCCTTGGTTTCAGTGAAGGAGCCAGTAGGCCTCAGCTACACAGAGAGCCTGGGTACATGGCCACTTGGGAAGGCAGGATCCACCAGCCTCTGCAAATGTGGCAGGGAGCTGAGGTGTGAACGAGAGGTTGAGGAGAACAGGCCACATAAAGAGGAACTCCAGGAAATGAACCCTTCACTCAGGACCTTGGCACGAGTAGGCACCAGTCGGTACCATTTCTAGGTTCCAAAAGTCAGTCAAAGTTCACAGAGAGTTGCAGTGAAAGACAATTTTTATTAAGCAGTTAAGTTGTGACTATTTCAGCATGAAGCGCCTCTGTTGACCTTATTTCAGCTTCCCACAGTTGTAATGCTGTTCCCTGTGGGTTTCCCCAAAAGACTGTGGAAGAGATGCAGGGCTTCATCATCAAGGCCAAGGCCTTGGAATTCTTGCAGCTTAAGACAAAACAGCTTCTTCCTAGATAGTAAAACATGCTGGAAAATATTTCTTGGCAGAAAAAGGGTGTTCTAAGTTGATGAGACTCTGCAGCCTGCCACCCCATGGGAGAATAGGTGTGTGCGAGACTGGGAAGGGCAGGTGGGCACAGCGGTCTCCTGCTGTGGCCTGGCTGCTGTCACATACTAGCCCACTGGGGATCATAGGCTGCCTCTGCTTCCACAAAACAGGTTGTGCTCAACTAACAATTACAGAAAGAACTTATCAGGAAAGAATAGTAAGTATCCACACCCACCCCCTAACCCCTACTCTAGGGGACTCTATAAGCCTTGGAGTCCCCTAGCCACGCAGGCCTCATCGGCCTGTCTCCTCTCTTCTCTCAAGACTCGGTATGAAAGTACTGCTGGTGCTGGTGTTCATCCAAGCTGGACTGCTCTGCAGGCACGAAATAGCTGATTTGGTCTGGTGGATATTCAGCAGGGGCCTGGAAAGCCTCTGGACTTGGAGGTAGCTGGGCTCCTGCCTCAGGGGCTTGTGCCTGCTAGGAAAAAGGGGGACAAGGTGGAGTCTTTTGCTAAAGTTTCTGGGCCCATTTCGCGGTGGAGGGAGGATCCCTTTAGTTCAGGTCAACAAGGTGCTGAGAAGTACCTCTGTGGAACACAAGCCTGCAAGGTGCCGGTAGAAGGTAGAGCGGGGGAAAACTGGGTTCCTCCCTGCTTCTCTCTCCTAATGTCACGTTAGCTTAAAGACCAGCAGAAGCATGCCTGGGCTCTCCTAAACTTGTCTTCATGTCTAAGGCTACTGGATCCCGTGGCTGGCCCTGCCCAAACCAGCTTCTCTGGCAGCCCTGGCTAGCCAAGGCCTTGGAAGCTCTCTTCCTGCCCCTACCCTTGGACCTTGCCATTATTCTACTTGGACTAAGTGACTTCCATGCTGAGCCTGATTAGCAGCTACCTGGCCCACCTGAACAACGTGATGGGAGAGGTAACAATCCACTCTGTGCAATGGAGAGGGGAAGAGGGACAGACACAAAAATGGTGTTACAAAGAGTGGGCTAAGGGAATCTTTTCTATTGGAGAAGGAGGGACCCCCCTTGGGGTGGGTTTTGAAGGTGATGTAAGATTTCAACAAGTGGAATTCAAGAGGGTGGAGAAGATAAAAGAATCAGAAGGAGCAAGAATGGGCTATGGGCAGAAAGCTAGAGGTGTCTGGGGACCCAGAGAGAGGGAGGGCCCAAGGGGTGGTGGAGATGAGCCAGAGCAGGGTGTGGGGGGCCCCTGAAGTATTATGGACAGGGAAGTTCCCACACGGTCCTGCCCTTGGCTGTTCCACTGTGATCTCCTATCTGCACAACCTTCCGGGGTCCTCCCTTCTCCACTTTCCTGGGATATCTGCTCAGCTTTGTCTCAGCTCTGCCTCTCAGGGCACATCCAGAGGGTAAACACCTTGAGAGCAGGCATGAGGAAGGGTCTCACCAGAATCTGGCTTGGTAACTGAACCACAGGGTTCACTGGCCATCTGATCTCTTTGTGTGGGCAGTCCCTCTAACAGATCAACTTCCTGGAGGGCTGGCAGCCCAGTGGTTTAAGGTGTGTATGTGAAATTATTCACACCTTTAGCCACTTAAAATATCCAAACTCCTTCATTCTGCCTTAGCTTACTGTTTTTTTCTTGTTGTTTTTAGTTTTTAAAAAAAGAGTTGAGGCTCTATTAAGATTTCTAAAGCCAGAATCAAAATACCCTTTGTTAAGTGCTGTTAGTAAGAATGGGAGTTTGTGGTGCCCAAGGGGTCTGCTGGGAGTGTACCTGGGAGCAAAACCTGCTATGTGACTGCCATCTGGACCAGTCCCACCACTGCCCTGGAAACATGGATGTTGCAAATGATCCCCAAGCTGGGGTCTGCCCTGCCAAACATGGGGCATGACATGCATAGATACCAAGCACATTCAACAGTAGGACTCTGCGTTTGTTTTCGGTATGAAGAAACACAGCTACACTAGGCCTGGATTTTGTAGCAGAACTTAAAATTCACAAGTTCAGAAAGGGGTCTGGGCTGGGGCAACAAACAGCATATAGCATGACTAACTTTGCCCAAGTAATATATTTTTGAGAAGTTTCCAAGTCAGATTGCATTTAATATCCATGAGGACAGCTCACTTTTTCATGGAAGGCTGAAGAGAATCTTTGTACTCAGCAGTGAGTGCTACTACCATGTGAGTAACCACCTCAGATTTATTGAGTTTTGAAGACTATATTTCACACATGAAGTGTACTCCTGTGTGTGAGCCTTATGGAGAAGGGGCCCGCCTCTGTGCAGAAGCCTCTGACTTGGGCTGCAGGGCAGAGGAGAAGGGGTGGCATACCTGGGGCCAGGCAGCTTGGTCTTGCAGGATGGCCTGCTCATTGGAAGACCAAGTATCCTCTTGGAGGTAAAGGTCATGCTGTGGATCTGGTGGCTGTTGCCAAAGATGGATGTACTCCTGCGAGGTGTCCAGGGGGACTAAGTTTGAATCAGAACCAATGAGACACTCAGGAAAACTGGTAGAGGAAATCGAGCTTGGGCTACGTGCCATGGACAGCAGATTCATGGAGGACCCCCGCAGGTCCTCAGGAAGAAAGCTGTAAGAGAAGAAACATGTTACAGTGGCACAGATCTAGAAACGATGACCCAGAAGACTGTCTTGCTCATCAGTAGGTGCTTAAGGTACACTTGGTTTTGGTGGCTAAATCAAGATTCACTTGTTTGTACTCTCACTTTGGCCTGAATAAGACTCAATTTGCCAAAGTAAAGTGAAGGTAAACCTTGAGATAAATTACAGTTATTTGTCTCAAGTGGTTTTATTTGTATTACTTGGACTGTACTTGTTCTACCATGATGGTGACTTCTGTGGTCTTGTGCAAGGCACTTCATCTACCCCAAAGTCAGAGACTTGCCCTTCATCACTAAAGGGGCTAGTGACTGCGAGGGGCTGCCAGGCCGATTTCCTCACTCCAAGTCCAGTGCTCTCTCTACAACCCTAAGCCTGGGGCGGGGGGGGGTCATGAGATAAACAGATTTCTAAGCCCTGCTCCCAACTCTGAATCTGCACTTTCAACAACCTCCTCACCTTGACTCTCACGATCAGGCCAGTGGGAAACATGGCATTGACCCACCTCACGTGTCAGGGCCACTGATCGTAAAAGAAGGCCCAGAAGGAAATCCGGAGAGCTCTGGGAGGCTTGCTCAGAGAGCTGGAACTCATTCAAAAATATTTATTGGGCACCAAGTATGTGCTAAGCAACCCCTTCACTGCTGAACAGAACCTTCTCTTTCTGGCATGGGACCAAAGACTGTATCACTGAGTAGAATACGTGTTCATGTCCTCATCCTGCCTTCCAGGACTGAATTCTGTGTTCTTGGTTCTTTAGGTATCCAATGGCAAACCAGCAACTCTTTCGCAACGACTTCCCTCATATAGATCGTGAATGCCATGAGGACCCCTTCACCTGGTCTACTGTGATCACCAGATTCCACTGAAGGGGGAAATGAAAGCTGGGAGCCCAGGAGTATCCAGTTGTGGGCACTCAAGACTTCCCTAAAGACACCATGTGCCCGTGAGATTGCACTTGGGGGGTGAAGCCAAGCAATTTCAAGATTTGCATGCCAAATCCCTAGCTTGGAGGCTTCCTTATCTAGTCCCCCTATTTTCATGGAGACTCCTCTGCCTCATCAATGCATGCTTGGCCATGCACTGTGCATGTAGAGGCAGGGGCCCCAGTAGCCACAGAGCAAGATGAGTGGGAGCACATTGCTTTTGATGAGGGGGCTTTTGGTGTCCTCTGGGAAAGTCACCAATGGTCTCAGGCATGGTGTCCAGCCACAAGAAGAAACCAGTGACCTTAGCCATTATCACCATTCCATGCACTTCTTACCTACGACTCTCATCTTCCTGGCCCCCAAGGTTTTCGTCCTGATAGTACTCAGAGGGCTGTTGCTCATCTCCTAATTGGACAGGAACGACAGGCTGGCTCTGCGTGAACATCACGGGGTCATTATAGAGGGGCAGAGAAACGCTGCTTTGGTTTGGCAGGCCTATTTGCAGTGTTTCATCTCCCAAAACGACATTATGCTGCTGTGGCTGTTCCTGCAGCAGCTCCTCCTGCTGCATCTGTTGCTGCAGGTATTGTTCCTGCTCCTGCAGGTGCTGCTGCATCAAAAGGAAGAGATAAAAGTACCTCAGTGTCTGCAGGAGCCTCCCAGAAATTGATTGGACACTCCCACTCCAGGTTCCCAAAGCAGAAGACAACAGTAGCCCTGCCTCTCTGGGCATTGCGCCCTGGGTGACTGTCTACTTGTTTGGCTGGGCACTACTTGCAGTCACGCTCCGTGCCATGAGAAGCTGCAACCCAGCACACATGTACATGGACGTGTGCATGTGTGTCCAGGTCTAGTTAACCAGGATTTTCAATCTCAGGCAAAAGAGCTGCAGCCAACTAAGCAGCAGCCACTAACCCCTCAGGAGAACCAGGTGAGCCCAAATTTTCATGAAAATGAAATCCTCTTTCAGCTACATAGTTAAAACAGGCTTTCCATACCTGGGTGGAGGCATCATAAGGCTCCTCAAGCTCCTCAGGGAATTTGAAAGAGTGAGACGAATATGAACCACAGAAATCTTTGGCCTCCTTGAGATCTGGGAGGGACTTCATTTGCTCAGTGCGTCGTTTCTTGGGCACTGGCTCCAAAGACTGGGGCTCAGGATTTTCAATGTAGAGTGAGGTGTTTGGTTGCATCTGTAAGGACACAGTATTACAAAGATCTTGTTCAGGGTCCACATCTTTCCTTAGGGCACAAGACATGCTGGGCATGGAACGAGACTGCCCAAAGGTAAGCCCACAGGAAGCCTTGACTGTATATGAGCCACATCTGCCACTGCAAGAGCCTGGCTGGGCCCATCTCAGCTTCTGTAGCCAAGAGAAAAAGGGCATTGCCATGAAGTCCCTGCTGAAGATTGCTCCAGATGTCCCATGCTGCCCTAGGGCAGCAGCTGTCGCTACTAGCAGGCCCTATTGATTAACTCCTTGAAGATTGTCATGGTTCCTTTCTCCTCTCCCTTCTGCCACTTACATGGAACTGGTCTCTGACCTGAAATTTGGACTCCTGCATTGCCTGAAGCTGCTCCCTAATCATTTCCAGTGCCTTCTGCTGGTTTCTGATGTCAGCATGCAGCATCTGAGTCTTCTCTTCCAGCTGCTCTTTGAACTTCTTCATCAGTTCCAGCTCACGTTTGTCGATGTATGATGCAATTGATGATAGTGATGGTAATGGCTGTGGGAAGAAATCAATCACTTATGGTTCATATACTATAGGGACACCAGGTTCTCCAAATCATACCATGTTGTTTTCTTTCCAAGTTTTGAAAGACTGAGAATGCAAATAGCAGCACTCCAATCCTGATTTCATTCATTCTAGAAAGTTTGAAGAAATGTTTAGAGAATCCAGGAATTCTCGATCAGAAATGGATCATGGGGATCATTTAGTCTGATTTTTCCCTTAAACATAAAGCTGTGGAATTCACCCAGAGATGTGAAGAAACCTGCCCAAAGGCCTCGGTGGAGAAGTCAGAATGCAGCGGGTCATATCACAAATGAGACATACGGGAAACATCCATGGGATGCCCTGTTAGCACTGCAGTTAAAAGAAGAAGGCTCAACTGGCGCTTCCTTTGTTCCAGATACTTTTCTAAGCACTGTACAGAAACGCACAGATCTGACCTTCGCAATGGCCTCTAAAGTAGCTACTGTCCAAGCACAGTTATAGTACTTGAAGGACCATCCTCCTCCTGGCCTTAGAAATCTAATTTTAACGTGAGTAACAGCCTCAGATCTGGAATTAAACAAATGTACAGGTTTATAAAAGTATAGAGTGTGTTGGGGGACAAAGCAATGCTTCGGGTTGGCTGGAATAGAGGGGATGAGGCAAATCTCCTATGGAAGGGAAACCAGAGGAAGAGCCTTGTGCAGACCATACAAGTTTAGGCAGCCGAAGGACTTAGATTTTATTTATCAGCCATCTTGTGCTGCTGCCAGAAGGAGCAGTCTAAAACACAGACCTGATTGGGAAAGTGACATGCTCAGATCTATGTGGTAAAACATGCCTTCTGGCAACAGTGTGGAAGATGAACTGACTGACGGGAGAGAGTAAGCTTGGAGTCAGAGAGAAGCCAGTTAGAAGGCTGTGGAGGTAACTCAAGATAGAGGTAATAGGAGCCTGAAACAGTCCAGAGGTAGGACACTGAAAAGAAGGGACACATTCGAGAGAAATTAAGAAAGTGGATAGGACTTCTCAACTGATTGGCTGAAGGGGTCAGAAAAGAGGTGGGATTCTTGAAAAAGAACTGTCAAAGCTGTAAGTAGGACCTGGAAACAAGTGTTGTTTGCCTTGATCTGTGCTAGACACTGTGTGTACAAACAAGATAAGAGAGCCTCGCTTCCAATCCATAATCCCAATACCAAGAGTAAGAAAAAGGTACACACACATGCAACTGCTAGGAAGCAAAACTGTGGGTCTTCAACTCCTTTACGGTTAATGGAAACACACAGTTGAATTCTTAAAAAGAGGGAGAGAGAAAAAAAAACTTGCATAGAATACACTCGGAATAAAACATTATATATGCATTTTTAATCTATTGGAAATGATCCAATTGTCCTTTCACTATATTATATATATATATATATATATATATATATATCTTCATATAAGAAAGCAGGCATTCATTAAACCAAAAAATCTCTAAACTCAAGACTGGAAGAGACAAATCTTACAGGTCATCACATCCACCTCCCCCCACCGCACACTTCTCCAGGCAGGAATCTTTTCTCTGCTGTCCCTGGCAGATGAGCTACCAAGCCTTGGCTCAAAGCCTTCCCATTGAAGGGGAGGGGGCTCACTACCTGGGGAGGCTGAGAAGGGCTTCCTTGGAAGGGCATCCCTTCCTGCCTTGCGCCGCTAGCTCTCTGCCCTAGTTTGATCCACCGGAAACGTCTTCCACTTCAGGAGTATGACGGTCCTGCAGCTATTTGGATCAAGCTGTCCTGGCCCTCCCCAGTCTCCCTTCTCCTTCCACTACTGACCATGTGACATTTTCCAGCCCGCCTCCATCCTGGTCTCCACCTTATGGACACATTCCAGTCTGCCAACCCATGGCACCCAGAAATAAGCCCAATACATATGCTATCACATGCAGAGCCACACTACACATGCTCATTGCTGGTTATTTTGACTATTTTAAACAAAAGTTATATTTAAAGTTTAATTATAAATTAATTCAAAGGAGAAGAGAAATCTATCAACAGTGAAAGAGGACCCACAACTTTTAACATAAGAACATAAATAAGGACAAAATGGATTTCTACAGAAATTTTCTTTTAAATAGTTGAAAGAATTTTCCTACAAGTCTGAAAATCTCTTCAAGGCAAGCAGACCATTTCAAAATGGAGAAACCGAGACTCGGGGATGTGCCATGGTCACGTTGTTGGGGCCAAGCTCAAACAACTGTCTTCTAGCCCTCAGTTCTTCTCATTAGAAGAGGATGCCTTTGGCATCAGGAATGGAGTGACTCATCTTAGGGCTTCGTAATTAATGCACACAGTCCCACATAACAGACCATAAAGTCATTATCTTGGCTGCCAATCCTGATTTTAATAATCTTCTCTAACATAAAAGATGATCATCCCAATCTGCGATTATGTACACACATTTGGGGATAGAAGAGCAACAGAGTAGTTAATCCAACCGTTTTGATTTGGCTTTCGACCATATACTGGTGCTGACATTTGAAGGCTGGATATATCTAACATTCTAAAAAGCATGATTCTAACCTAATAAAAATTCTATTGGGGAAGCCTAGCTCCTGGTGGGGAGGTGTTGGTATAAGAAGGCAGGAAAGTCATCTTTCCTTGAGATAGTTAGCGTCCCGTCACAGGTGACGAGGAGCATGGCTCATAAAAATACTGCCTTTTCTTAGTAGTTAAGCTTCCTATTTGACTCAAACATTCTCTCAAGCATAAAGTGTTTTAGCATATTTCACATTAAGAGGAGTACAGGGATTTGTATTTAGGGAGAACCTCCAGCCTCCCTGTTTGCTAGGGCCCACTGGATTCTCAGCTGCATCTGAAAATCCAGTAAAACAGAAAGAGCATGCTTTCTGCAAAGTGAAACTGGGAACAAGAGTGGAAATTCAGAGCTTTGCAGGGTCAGAATAAATATGTGGGATAAGACTTCCAGAGGTACCTGATCACTGATGTCAGCAGCCAAACTGGAGGACAAGAGGTTCTTCTGGTCCACCTGCTCCACCTGGGCCTCCTGCTCCACCTCCTCCACCTGGGCCTCCTGCTCCACCTCCTCCACCTGGGCCTCCTGCTCCAACTGCTCTATTTGCTCCACCTCCTCCACTTGCTCCACCTCTTCCATCTCATCCATCTGGTCCACCTCTTCTACCTCTTCCACCTCATCCACGTTTTCCACTTTATGTTCAGATTCAAAGCTTTGCAAAGATGATGTAGCTGAGGAGAAAAGCACAGTGGAATCCATGACCAAAAAAGCAAAAGTATCAACATTATCAAAGAGATTACACAGATTTCTCCTTATTTCCTTTTATAAGTCATAAAAACAGGCGAGTCCAGTTTTATTCCATTTTAAGAATTAAATGTGCCAGGTACCAGGATTAATTCAAAACACTGCTTAAAAATCTGTTCAGATATGAAAATGAAGAAAAAGGAGCGAGTGTTTGACTTTACCTCCATCCACCCAAGTATAAGCAGGAGTCCAAACCCATTCTTGTTAAGTATCTTTTCATTATAAATTTCTTTTGGCTCTGCTTCTGGAAATTCGGTACTTTCAAACAGATAAAACCAAAGTAAACGTTGTCATAAATCACTTTTGAAAAACTAAGTTCCCCAGACTGTGAGATCTCAGGAGGGCTTGAAGTTCTCTTGGAGGTGTTGTGACATGACTCTCCTTCAACAGCCCCCAGAAGCAAAGTGGAGAACATTATTTGAATAATGCGAAATGGTAGAGTCACTTTGGAAAATGATTTGGCAGCTTCTTTCCCACATACTTCCCATATGACCCAGCAGTCCCTCTCCCAGGAATTTACCCAAGTGAATTAAAATTTTATATCCATACAAAAAACCTGTGCAAGTATTTACAGTGCCTTTACTTATAATCACCAAACACTTGGAAACAACACAGATGTCCTTCTACAGATGAATGGATTAAAAAAAAAACCTGTGGTACGTTCATAAGATGCAGTACGATTCAGCAAGAATAAAGGAATGAACCACTGATTCATGCAACATGGATGAATCTTAAATGCATTTTGTTCACAAAACCAGACCAAAAGGGCTAGATATTGTATGATTCCATTTATATGACATTCTTGAAAAAGGAAACCAGAGATAGAATACCCATCAATGATCGCCAGTGGGTGAGGGAGAGAGTTTGAGTTCAAAGAGGCGGCACAAAGGACCTTTGGGGTGATAGAACTGTTAATGTTTGGTCTTGTGGTGGTAGATACATGACTCCCCAAAGAGTGAATTTTACTGTGTGCAAATTAAAACTAAATTGTTCTTATACATTTTAGAAATCACAGTTACAGGTTCATGGACTTTGTCTCTCCCCCCAAATAAATTGTTTTGAAAGAGTTTTTTTAGCAAAGCTTTGAGATTGACAGCAATACTGGAAAGGTTGTTAACGAGGGTATTTAAAATACAGAGATATTACTTCTACATATGGCGATTCCACGATACAAATTATCTCTGATAAGATTAGCTACCTAGAGGCCGTGATCTGCATTATGCATCCACCACTGCTTTAAGTTTTGTATTTTTTATACAATTATATTTATGAAATGTCTTTAATATTGAAACTTACGTAATAAGAGACTATCCCTTTTGCCCTCTACTAACAATTCTTACAGTACAGTTTTTAAAAACAAGAGGTTTCTTTGGAATTCAACTACTATGCCATGGCAGGAAAGACTGCACAAGTATTGAAAGATAAGATGCTATTCCTCCAAGGCCTGAGAGCTAGCACCAATCTTTAGAACATTAAAATTAAATGGGAGAGAATAATATTCCCAAGCACTCGAACCATCGATGAGATATTCATTTTCACTGCTCTCAAATCATCAGCTCAAAAAATTCTTCATAAGATGAAGAAAGTTAGAATTCACTTTTGTGATTTCACACCATTATAAACAGAACATTATTTTCATTTGAAAAATTGTAACTACCCTGTAGGCCACTATTTTTCTTTCGCTAGTCCCTACAGAAATGCCCACATGAACCTACCTGGAGAGTCAGGTATAGTTTCTGGGGAAGATATGCTGGAGTCAAAAGATGTATCAGACTCTATCTGAATTACAGGAACAGATTCTTGTGATCCATACTGCTTGACCTGTAAAATATTAACTTTATCCTTGGAATTTCCAAACAAGCAGGAGAAGATATTTCAATTTGCAGATAAAGAGGTATATAAACAACAGGAAACAGGCAGAACACAAACTTTTGATACATTTCACATCACAATTTCTAACATTGCTACAATCAATTGAATACCTAACACAAAACCATCATGAAACATATCCTTGAAAAATACTGCTGGAAGATAACAACAAGCAGAGACCATGGGCACCACATGCTATACATTGTCAAACTAGAGAATAGAAACAAAGTATAGGTGTGCTAAAAGCACAAGTGGAAGAAAAATGTGTGCCAATCAAAGGCTGTGGCAAAAAAAAAAAAAGGCCTTTCAGAGATGTTGGGAGGACCCAGACCTGCTAGTTCAGAGGTGGGAAGGCTGTAGGAGAAGGGCACCACCACCAATGGGACCATCTTTCCATAGGTCCTGCACATGCAGCATTGGCTTAGAGGAAGGAGAGGCCAACTGGGGGCTGGTTAATGACCATGTCTGTAACAAAGATTAAAGCTGAGAGTATTATGAGCAAAAGTACCTTTACTATGGTAGCAGAGAGATATAGATGGCCCTGGAGAGCTTCTAGTGCAAACTCCCTATTTGATAGCTTCAAAGGGGAGAAGGTCATACAGCAAGTTAGGAGCAGAGCAAGAGAGAGAAAATTCAGTGTCTTCGAACCCAGTACTCTTTTCCCTAACCCCGGCTATCTCAACCTAAGCCATTTGCTGCTTTAAATCACGTATGTTATATTCCTATTTATTGATCCACTGCCATTTCCTTAACAACTGGATCCTTTTTGAATAGTCTGGGGCTCACTGCTCATATGAAATTTAAGTATCTGGTTTAGCAGTGAAATCTTTTACATCTCTGCCAAAAAAATTAGCTTTTTTTTTTTTTTTTTTTTTTTGCACTGGATTAAGACATTGACTCATGCTGACTTTTCTACAAGGAACCTGTTTGTTGGAGAACACTCCCCCAGATTAAATCCCAGCATTTGAACTTCAGGAAATTGCACAATCTCTGTTCAAGTGCACTATGTTTTGTACTCCTTAAAACAAGGAATGTGTTGCTGGGGATGTGGCAATCCTTTCATCATTTAGAAAGCTATTTTTGTGGGGTCATATTCATTGAGATGGGATATGACCTCTCTTTCTTTGTCCTCCTCCTTCTGTTCTTTATCGTGGCCATATATCAATTTAATCACTAGCTCCTTGCTTCTTGGATGATTTTCAATAGAAATGTGTATACTCAGATGTTCATCAAGATGTCCTTTTTTGTGTGTTCATATGCTTTAGCTTATCAATAAAAATGCAGTGAGCCTAAATGAACTTAAATTACAGAATCATGTGCAGTAATGGTAACTGGTTTAGAAAAAAACAAAGCAAGGGGCTGGCCGGGTGGCATAGTGGTTAAATTTGCACGCTCCGCTTCAGTGGCCTGGGGTCTGCGGGTTTGGATCCCAGGCGCAGACCTACACACCATTCATCAAGCCATGCTGTGGTGGCATCCCACATACAAAATAGAGGAAGATTGGCATAGATGTTAGCTCAGGGACAATCTTCCTCAAGTAAAAAGAGGAAGATTGGAAACAGATGTTAGCTCATGGCCAATCTTCCTCACAAACAAACAAACAAAAAAACAAAGCAAAGCAACTATTTTGGAAGCAAAAAGATACCAATATAAAATGCAATCAGGACTAAGATCTGAAGACAATCTTTCAAGAGAGGAAGCTAGAAGCTAAAAAGAAAGATGAAATGAAAATGCATGCATGGGGATCGGAGGGCAATCAATATGCTTTTACAAGTTTAAGAGGAGTTTTGGATTCACTTTTACTCTATAATTGTCTCCATGAACAGTATGCTAAATGATTTGAAAAGAGAAGCATAGCCTTTAAGGCTGGACATAGAGGAGGCTTCAAGTGCAGGCTCCAATACCTGAAAGTTATGTGAACTAGAAATGAGTGTACACTGCGGGGGAGGCAATCAAGACGTACATCCCCCAATCTTCACATTTTCCCCATGATTAGCTTAGCATCAGAAGTGCTCTGAGTCACTTTTAAGAGGTCCTTTCATTTTAGTTTTGTAAAAAGAACAGCACTTTAGGGCATCCAGTCAAGATAACAGATGGAATAGACATGGGAAAAACACTAGATAAAATAGAGTAGAATTTTTAAAAATACACTCTGTTTAAAAATCCTCTCTGGAGCCAGCTCTGATGGCCTAGTGGTTAAAGTTTAGTGCACTCTACTTAGGCAGCCTGGGCCCAGTTCCTGGGCCCAGAACCAAACCACTCGTCTGTCAGTAGCCACGTTGTGGCACCAGCTCACATAGAAGAACCAGAAGAAAAACTTACAACTATACACAACTATGTACTGGGGCTTTGTAGGGGAAAAGGAAGAAACAAAAAATCCTCTCTGGATCCCACCTGTCTTTTACGTACCATTCTGTTTGTCTGATTCCCTTGAGAGCAAAACTTCTCAAAAGGGAAGTGCTTAATGTCTCCAATTCCACCATCCTCTCTTATATCTGCTCAAGCAGACGATATCTCCCTGCCCTCGTCTACAGTCCACCAAAATTTTTCTCAAGTTCAGCAATGGCTTCCAGGACCTAAATCTAATGGCACTTCTGAGTAGTCAACCTACCTAATCTATCAGCAGTGTTTGACACTGTTTTTCATTTCCTCCTCCTGGAAATACTTTCTTCACTTGGCTTAACTCTTACTTCACTGGTCACGTCCTCTCAATCTCTACTGCTGATTCCTTCTCTTCTCTCTAATCTCTTCACTTTGGAGGTACTCCAGGCTTAGTCCTTGGTTCTTATTTCTGTCTATACTTACTCCCCTGGTGACCTCATCCAAGTCTATAGCTTTAAGACCATCCATGTTGCTGATTCCTCAATTCTTATCACCAGTCTAGCTCTATATTTCCAACTGACTATCTAATAAGCATCCCAAACATAAATATTTTCAAAACTGAGACCCCTTTATTACCTTCCCCAGCAAACACCTGTAAGCTTGCAAATTCTTCCCACAGTTTTCTCCAGTTAATGCAATACCATCTTTCCAGTTGCTCAGGTCAAGTACCTTAAAGTCATCCCTAACTCCTCTCTTTTTCTCATACATCTCATCCAATGTCAGCAACTCCAAGTGTTCTTCCTTCAAAATAGATCTAGGATATGACTACTACTTACGATTTTCACTGTTACTACCCTGCTCCAAGCCACCATCATCTCTCACTTGGATTGCTGAGATAGCCTCCTAACTCAACTCCCAGCTTCCACACCTACTCCTCCTCCCCACAGTCTAGTCTCAACATAGTGACTCTTTTAATAAACTAATCAGATTATGTCACTCTTCTGCTCACAACTCTCCCATGGTTCCCCATTTCATTCAGAGTAAACCCCAAAGCCATACAATGGCTTCCAAGGCCCTATTCGACCTGACCCCCATTACATCTCTGATTCCAACCATACCTACTCTTACCTTTGTTCACTCTGCTCTAGGCCCTCTGGCCTCCCTGCTATTCCTCTAAACCCCAGGCATGCTTCCACCTCAAGGCCTTGCTTTGGTTTCCCCTCTCTTGAGTCTTCCCCCCAGATATATATCTTCATGGCTAACTTTCTCACTTCCTTCAATGTTTGCTCATATTTAATACTGCACTCCCCTATCTGTTGCATTCCCAATCCCTCTCATCCTGCTCTACTTCTTTTCAATAGCTCTTCTCACCTTCTAATTTATCATTTATTTATTTAATATACTTATCTTGTTTATCATCTATCTCCTCCTGCTAGAACGTAAGCTCCTCTAGAGCAGAAATTTTTCAATTTTCTTAACTGATGTATCCACCCCCCTCACCTAAAACAGTGTATAGTACACAGTAGGTGTTGAATAAATATATGTTCAATGAATCAATAAATGAATGAATCTGAAATGGCCTTTAAAATAAACACACTTAAAATGTTCAAAAATACAAAGAAAGGGAAGCCATAAAACAAAGAATAGGACAACATGAAAAAACAGAGAGCTTTGAAAGTAGGTGCTTCATTATATAGGAAGAAGTAGATATTGGGATCAGACAGGCCTGGATTTGAATCCTGGCTCTGCCACTTACTGTGCAACTTTGGGCAAGTTATTCAATAGCAAGAATCCAAGATTCACCATCTTTAAAACTGGAACGATAACGCCTCATAGGGTTGCTGTGGGAGTTAAGCACCCAGCCCAATGCTTGATGCATAACAAGTCCTCAATACACTTTAGTCATTAGTCGTCTTATTATTCTATCATAAGTACCATGTCATCTCCCACCCCTATATGGAGTTAGGGATGACCTTCTTAAATCACTTTTTAGGTGCTTCAATAGGTGTCTGTTGAGTGAATAAATGATTAGGTGCCTACCTCATAGTAGGTATAAAATCACTGGAAGACGCTTTCACGATTACTCCCTAAGCCAGGTTTGCCCTGTCCTCCTCATTAATACATAATTAGCTTGGGCAGAGTGCCTCTGAGTCTGATGTGTACCACGGCTCTCCCACCCCACCCAGGCCCTGCGGTTCATGCTCAAAGCCAGCTGCTTCTGAAGATTTGCCTGCTACCTCCAGGAACAATGAATTTGAGTAAAAAAACAATGTGATAATGTACAAGCTCCAATTCTGCCAAACTTGCTTGTTTAGTGCAATGCGATTCAAGAACAACAGATCTCCAGGGATGGATGGCAGAATGTCAGTTGCAGGTAACATGAGTCACCTAAAGTCATCATTACAATAAAGTATCTGGGACAGAGTCAATTAGGGAGAATTTGCTTTGGATTGACATTGATGCTGCTACATTAGCCACTGCTATTCAAATGGTGAGGTGGTGGTTTTCATGGAAGGAACTTTGTACTCAACACATCATCTTATTCTCAATTCCTTGCTGGTTAACAGCTGTTTTCAACAGAACATGCTTCTCTGGATGCAGTTGTCTACAGTAACTGACAGATCAAAATATGACGGTCCCTGGCAGGGGGCCGGTATGTGCTTTGTGTGGTTTTTTCTCCATGTTTCTTTTGCTTAGGTTTAGTTGAGATCCTTGGATCTTTGGGTTTATAGCTTTCACCAAATGTGGAAAATTTCTGGCCATTATTACTTCACCTATTTTTTCTGTACACCCCTGTACACTATGGAGACTCCACTTACACATATATTTGGCCAACTGAAGTTTCTGACAGCTAACTAATGCTCTTTTCTTTTTTCTTGTTCTTTTAAAACTTTTTTCTCCTTTTGTTTAATTTGGAGAATTTCTATTGCTTTGTCTTTAAATCTGCTAATCTACTAAATCTACAATGTTTAATCTACCATCAATCCCACCCAGTGTTGTTTTGTTTTCACCACTCAAATTTTCACTTGATATGTTTTCCCCATCTTCCATGTCTCTTCTTAAAATTTTGAACACACGTAATACAGTTATAATTGTTTTACTATCCTTGTCCACTAATTCAAAAATCTGTGTTTGTTCTGGATAAGTTCCTACTGATTGATTTTTCTCTTCAAGAAGGGTCATAAATCACTGCTTCTTTAAATGCCTGATACTCTTTGACTCAATGCCAAATATTGTTCACTTCATCTTGTAGGGTATAGATATTTTTGCATTCCTATAAACATTCTTCATCTTTGTTTTGGAACATAGTGAAATTACCTGGAAACAGTTTGATCCTTTTGGTATTGCCTTAATGATTTGATAAGCAGAAGCAGAGCAATTGTTAGCCGAGGGCTAGACCTTTCTGTGTACTCTTCCCTCGTGTCCTGTGTATTATGAGGATTTCCAGTGTTGCTGGTAGAAACAGGAGCTATTCTCAGTCCTGTGTGAGTGCTGGCACTGTTCCCTTTAATCCTCTTGAATGGTTCTTTCCCCTCCCAGTTCCCTGACATTATCTCTCCACACAGCCCCCTCCTCTCCAGGTACTCTGCTAGTACCCTTAGACTCCCTATACTCCCACCTCAATCTCTTCAACTCGGGCAGTCCACTGGGATCCCTGTGTGTTCTCCCCCTCAGCCACATGGCCTGGAAGCTCACTAGGTAGTAAGCTGTGGCAATCGTAGGGCTCATTTAATTCATTTTCCATCTCTTAAGAGTCCCTGTCCTTTGTTGCTTGATGTCCATTATCTTGAAAATCGTTATTTCATTTTGTCTGTTTTATTTTTGGCTGTTTTGGGCAAGAAAGTTACTCTGTTCCCTGTCAGTCAATCTTAATTGGAAGCAGAAGTTCCCCAACTCCAAAGAATATTATATAGTTACTGAAATGATTAAAATTGGAACTGTAGAAAAGTGGGACTTAGTGATAAGTGAAAGCCAAGGTTATAGAGAAGCATGTAAGCTATCATTCTAACTAAGTGAAAAATACATATGATGGTAGACCAAGACCAAATAGGAATAAGCAAAAGTAAATAGCACTGTGCCATGGTGGTGGGATTATGGGTTTCTTAAAAAAAAAAAAAAAAAACCTTACTTTTAAGTGTTATAATTACTTAGGTTGTATAAGTTTTATAAAGTGAGAATTTTTTTTAATCCAGTTTTCCTCAAAACACACTTGTTTGAAGTGTGTTGAAGGACTCTGGATTCTTCACACATAGCACGCTACAGATCCTGGGTAAATATTTGTTGACTGACTGATGAAGTCAGGTTGTCAGCTGTGTAGATGTTAGTCTGATGGCCAGAGCTATTATGGATGTCTTGGCCTCTTTTCCCAGAATAACCACAATTAATTTGTGTGTAAATAAAACATTGCTCTGTTTAAATTAGCCTTCTTCTACCTAATTCCTTCCTGTTTCATACTTTTTCTTGAACAGAATGTTAGGTTAAGCAGAGGTATGTCTTCAGAAGGGAGAAAGTTTTATCTACATAGAAGTAGCTTGTTAAATGAGCAATAGTTGGAAAATGCAACACAAAATCAGCACTTCATATTTAAAATATGTGCTCACAGCATCTCCACATTACAGAAGAACTTAATTACTGAAAAGACCTGTAGTCTGCAAGGCCCCAGGAACAGGCAAATCCTTGCAGGCAAAATCATGTGGAAGCTTGTCTATACTGTTCTTGAATCCCTTTACCACACGTGTGAAGAGGGCTACAAAAATCCTAGAGTACTGTAACATACACTATTCATTCGTGCATCTAATATTTATGAGCATCTACTGTGGGTGGCAAGCCTTGTTCAAGATGTCTGGGGATGTGCTGATGAACAAGACAGCACCTGCTCTCACAGAAGCTTCATTCTACTGCAGGAATACAAACAGTATACTAACAAATGAGGTTTCTTTGAGCATTACTACATCCATACGAGATAGCCTGGCAGATTATTATCACACTTATTTTACAGATAAGGAAACGGAAGCTCTTCATGGTAAAAGAACTTTGCCCAGGTCACATAATTGGTAAGCGGCAGAATCAGGAATCAAACCTTTATCTTCTGACGTCTAGGCCATCTTTTCTCTCTGTAACACTCTCACCACTGCAGTGATCCAGCCTAGTAGCTGTGTTACATGCACCCATGTAGTGGCAGGTAATGTGAAAGAACATCCTTGGCAAGGCCTTCTGGGATGCTTTTTCTGGTCTTCTATATCTTTTTTCTTGCAATTTGGTCTTATCCCCCAGACTAGAGTTTCAGATCATTGAAGGCAGACCCAGGTTTCATATTTCTATTGTATGTCCCTATAACATTCTCTCTAGTAACATCTAGCGAATGGATAAGTGGGTGATACATTCAATGGCTTAGGAAAAGGATGGGGACAATCTAGGTTAATTAGGGACTGGGTTCTGCCCATGATGGGATGATGTATGATGCAGTCTCATGAGTCTACTCACATAGCTACTTGCAGCAGGCAGGTCAGTAAACTTTCATTTTGAAATGCACTCACAAGTCAAAAAGACCTTGCACAGAGGTATAGAGCTTAGCTTAATTTTTTTAAAGCTACTACATTCAAAGCATGGTAGTTACTGGCTCCCAATAAGAAATAGCTACAAAATGGCAACTGTGGAACATCGCTCACATGTATACCCATATGAGATACTTCTTGAAATTGAAACCTTTGTATGTTGGCAACACACGTTAACTGAAGAATAAACATCCCGGGGATAGGGTCCAAGCTTTTAGTCTATGGCTTTCAATGTACATACGTCTGAGGCAGCAGCATCAGGTTCATCATGCAGGAATTGCATTCTAGAACTTATTCTTTGGCCTTGAACACTTCTATAAATAGGTGAAAAGAGAGATGGTAAGCACAGGAGTCTAATTTGCTATTTAAATCTAATTTTTCTATAATACAGTAAAATTAATGTTCAAATAAGAAAAAATATTTGTTTTATGTTTCTTAATTCATAACATCATCAACCTTTGAGGTGTCACTTTTTCTGCAGAAAACATTGTTCTGCACCATATCTATAAAATAAATCATCTGGACCCTCATTAGAATGAAGTTTGCTGCAGGTTTCAATGTCTTTTTGACAATAGTGAGCAAAGCAATCTAAAAAAGAGAAAGCCAAGGTGTATGAGTGAATGTTCTTTATTTTTAAACCAACGGCAATTACAAAAACTGCCTTCACGCCAAATTTCATTGTGCTTCCTGTAATTAGAGAAACTCTCCACTCTTTGGCTCATTAACAATTCATTTCTATCAAAATTAGAATTTTGATGCCCAAGGTGAGAATACAGCTTCATGGCACACTTGAATCTAAGCACTAGCTTACCTTTCACCAAATAAGTAGAAGATGAGAGAGAAGAAGAGAGACAGAGGAGAGAACATGAATGAATGAGAATCTTTTTAATTTTGAAATTACTTTTTGAGCCTTAGACGTTTCATAACTGATAATCTGTTATGGAAATGCTTTTTGTTTTCAAGGGTTTTTCTTTTGCATGCCAAAGAGTGAAAAGCTCCTATTGCTCCACAAAATAAGAAACTGGAGTCTGATAACAGATATGATAAAAAGCGAGACCTCACAATAGCAACACAGTGACAAAATGATATCTGTGAAACCCTCCCAATTCATTCAAAAGACACAAAATTAACAGAATAACTGGACTATTCTTCAAGGTTTCAATAAGTCAATACTGATCCAATGGAGAGAAATTTTCCATTCTATATTTCATAAGACCCAGCCACAAAATCCATTTTACTTATATCATCTATTACAATTGAAGAAAATTAAGAAGAGTTTGAAAAAATATATTTTGGATATCAACATATTTAGGAAGTATTGATTTAAATAGCACAAAAAAACTACTTAATGAGTTAATTCAGTCATTTTTATGTATGATGGGACTATAAAATATCTGATATGCATTTCTTACTGGTTTGACTTTCAGCACCAAGTAACATAAACAGAGTTACTTATAAATTTGCATCTACATCATTTAAAAATAAAATTCCTAAAAGATTATTATCTTTATTTCTAATTTTTTTCAGTCTTTGACTAAATTTATAAGCCAATTAGTCTGACAGAATGTTTTCTTCCTTACTAAGTGTTGGTACTTCTTCAAGGTTGTTCTTCACTTTCTGTTCTTTCTTTATATTATCTCCCCTGCAGACCATATTTTGTCCCTCGGCTTCAACTTGGGGTGACTCCGACATCTCTATCTCAAGACCTCTCCCTGCGCTGTAGGCCCATATACCCAACTGCCTTTAGGACATGCACTCTGGATGTCTAACAGACATCTCAACTCAACATGGTTCAATTAGACTCATCCTCCTCCTCCAGTGTCTCCTATCTTGGCGAACAGTGACACCCTCCACACAGTCACTCAAGACTGAAACCTCCAAGTCATCTTTGACTCTTCCCTCTTTGTCAACTCTCTTCTGTTCTGTATGAAAGTTTATTACTTTCTGTCCACCTTTTCCACCTGATGAATCTTGTGAAAGCAGTGCACCTGCTTTGAACCTCTTGTATCCCAGCACTAGCACAATGCAGAGCACTTAGTAGGTGCTTCATGAATATTTGCTGAGTGAATAAAGGAATAAACAGACTGACCAGGCAACTCAATTAAAATATTTGCACATCCCTCAACGCAGGTCTACTCAGATTGACACAATTACTTTCAAAGAAAAGACGAGGCTTCTACCTGCTCTTTAAAAGCAATTAAATGCCTCCATATTGGCTTCTAAACAGTAAATGCCTTTATACCTGAGATAAACAGTATGTGAATGAATGTACTGCTGCACTGTCCAGTATGGTAGCCACTAGCCACATGTGGCTAAATTAAAACCAAAATTAAGTGAAATTTAAAATTTAGTACTTTAGTCACAGAAGCCACACTTCAAGTACCCAGTAGCTACATGTGGCTAGTGGCTATGGTATTAGAGCAGATGAAAGAGCATTTCTGTCATCATAGAAGGTTCTATTAGACAGCACTGTATACAAGGATGCGCTGAGTTTTACTGGACCAGACACCAACTTTGACAACAAAACATTGTGAGGCAATTAGTTTTGCTTTAAATCCACTAGCTTGGATTTTAAAAATGTAAAATAAAAGGAAGCAAAGTTTTCCAAATTCTTCAGTGAATTTACATCTCATGCTTCTCTAAATATCAACATAGATGGCAAATATTTGACTTATAATCAGAATGTAAAAGTAACAAATAAGCACACACATTGTTAAAGAAAAACTTTATGGAGTTTTTCATACCTAACTAATCTGTGCGTGTAAACAGTGAATTCAGGCTCAAGATATGACTGACGTATAACAGAGGGTTTGCAGCCATACACATTGCTAGCCTTTGGTTAATAATAGATAAAAACAGAACTTTCCTTTTCCAAATTGCATCAATTTTCAAAAGGAAAGAAAATGATCAAAGAACACTTTGCTAGCTGTATTTACACGGAAAAAACACCTTCTAATTACAAAGAAAAGTACCTCTGTCTCATTATGTAAAATCTCAAAAGGTCACTCTTAAATTGGGCCCTTAAAATTTCTCACTCTCTCCCCATTTTAAATCTTTTCTGGGGTTTGATATTCATTGGTAAAGTACTCAACACTGCTGAATCACTTTCATGGAAGGTTGTTCTTGGCTCAAAAAAACATCCACTTCTACTTGCTATATAAATGAAACTGTAAATATGAAAAACACATCCAGTGAATACTGTTCTTTCATACGTCAATGCAGTACAAAGTAAGGTGTGTTTTGAACAGTTGTGGCAGAGAGTCAGGAACCAGATGACAGTAAAAATATAATCCTAAATCTCTCTCCTTGTCTAACGTACAGCAGAGATGATCTGATCTGAAGCAGTGGAGGAAGGAAAACCAGAACTCCTTTCTTGGTTGTAGGTCGTGACCAAAGGTTAAGGAGCTCATTTATAAGATTACTCCAACCAAAGGTATTCCACAGGCTCACAGAGGAAACCCACTACCAGCCTCTGTCGGAAAGGTGAAAGTTTGGGTCAAGGCGCAGGCATCCTCTTTTCCTCCAGGCCCAACTGCAGCTCAGTCATCCCTGACAAGTAGATGAGTACCAGCATCTCCAGAACCTACCTCTCCCCAAGAGTTGCTATGCTCTTAAGTGGTTCCCTAAGGATCATATCTGAAATAGCCTCCTATTTTCCCCAGCCTCCACCATTGTGTCCCACATCCCAGAGCTGCCATGGAATGTGGACAGAATTTAGGGTCTCCCAGACTTGGGCTCGAACCTCAGCTTAGACACTTCTAGGTGTAAGACCTAGATCAAGTCTCTTAGCTTCCCTGAGTCCATGTTTCCTGGCATTTACAGTGTGACTTATAATACATACCTTGTAGGGTTCTTGTAAAGAGAAATTCATGTTTAGAAAAAGTGCTTTGTAATCTGTATAGGCCAACGTGATCATCTCAAATACCAGCACTAACCACTCTCCCTGTGACTGCTCCATTCCTCTAAGTTTCTTCTCCACTTAAATATATGATTTGGGATTTATAATACTGTAATTTGCTTTAAAATGGTTCTTCTGTAATTTTAATTCTCTTTCCTAGAAAATGTGCTCCTCAAAGATGAGTTCTGCATACACTATCATTTCTCTATTCCTTCAGAGCCAAGAAGCAGACTCTCCAATGTCAAGATAAGCAGACTGGGGATCAAGAGTTGATATTGCTATGGACCACCTAGATCAATAGTCTCCTTCAGGCAGCAGTTGTAGGAGTGAGGAAGAGGGGTGTTGTATGGCTACAGAGCTCTGCATCCAATGTACACTTGTAAATATCCCCTGAATGAATGCACAAACTGATCCCTCTGAAGGGGAACAGAATTTGTCACCCAAAAATACGCCTCTTTGGCATAGGGATTATTTTGGCTGATTATTTTTAACAAACAGCAGACATAGGGAAAGCTCTGAAAATTGAGTAGAAGTTACCCTTTTGTAAGAGACATTTACATTTATAAAGGAAATCTCCATTTGTAAGGATGTTTCCCTCTCTGTCCCAGGAAGGGGAAGGTGACTCTAAAGCTCTAGAAACTCTTATCCACGGAGCAGGCCCCCAACTGAAATCTGCATAACAACCTTACCCTCGTTTACTGTGTTTTTCCTGGTCATCTCCCATAACTGGCTCCCCACCCCCATCATCTTCTTTTGTCTATAGCTGGAGATGGCATTTAAGGTGGTGGCTTGGGTTCTGGGAGTTACTCAGTTTTCCTGGGTCTCTGCCATGTATACAGGAGGTACACATGCTACTAAACTTCTGTTTGTTTTTCTTCTGTCAATCTGTCTTTTTATTACAGGAACATCTCAGCCAAGAAACTGGAAGGGTATAGGGGAATTTATTTTTCCTCCTCCATACCTCCTAATACAAAATAACTACCTGCCTTTTAAATATTTCTTCTCTTTCAATATAGCTCCTTTTAGTAAATAAACCATTGGAGAATATCATCTTAATAGATTATTCAAAGATCAGATTAGTTTATTTTAGGAACCATATCCAAAGGCAGATAGGAAAAGGGGATGATTTTGATCAGTTCTGGAAATTAATAAACAGAAATCTCATTAAAATGGAGTTGGGAGGCCAAAAGGGGGTGCTCTCGCACCCTAGTCAATAGCAGATCCCATCAGGAGGAAGAAAGACTTCCTCTTCTTGACTGTCAAGAAGCTCAGCCAATGAGAGATTGTCACAACTCAGCCAATGAAAAGCTACCACACTACCGAACTCTCAGTCTCCTCCAATGGACTCTTTGTTTACAATAGCCCTCCCAACTTCCTCTTTCCGTCTATAAAAGAGTTTCTCCTCCCTTTGCTGCT